CGTATTTTCCGGCGTATAAGACGACTTTTCACACCATAAATTTCTGCTCCTAAGTGGGGGTCGTCTTATATGCCGAGTGTAGTTTAGGGATCGCTAATTATACTATGGTTCCAAGCTCCTGTTGTGCCCCTTACCTTCTTACAAAATCTATAGTTTAACTGGAAAAGTCATGGGGTCGTCTTATACGTCGGAAAATACGGTATGTCTTGGTCTTAACTTATCTTTTATTTCCTCCTATTTTGCTTGATCTTGTTCAGAAAACTAATGATCATTTATTTCAGTTATTTAAGACCTATGCGATCAGTTTAACTCGCTGTTTGGTCTCAATCATGAGAAATCTCTTACTTGTGTCACCAATATTCTTTTCTGCTATTCTTATTCACCTCCCCTATTCGAGTATAAATGAGCATTTTATCTACTAAGCCTTTTAACATTCATGTTTTTGATAATATTTACATTTTTACTTTTGTGAAGCTCCTTGTTTTGTTTGCTGGTATCTCTGAATCATCCCACCGTTTTACTGATTAATGAATATATCTTAATTTACTGAGTTACCTTTGTCTAGGTTTGACAAATATTTCTCGAATATATTTTATTAATTGCTGAAAGTAATAATACTCTCTTTCTTAGGTGATTTATTCTATTTGATTTTAAGATATATTATTTTTGAGTACTTTTCTTGTAAGACGAATGCTAACAAATTTCACTTTTTCCCTTCACCCAACTTTAAAATGTTTGACGAGTTCAGGTAGTCCTGGTTAGTTTTCTTACAAATCGATCAGAAGGCAAAGCCGTGCTTCTCAATGTTTGCACAAAACTGGCTGTATCGGCAGCCTCTTTGGCTGCCAACTTGTCATCCGAGTCTAAGTTGGCTGAGGAATCGGGCCAGGCTGCCAGCCGACTCTTACCAATTTCTGAATTAACTCAATTTCATATCTCGAACGAAGGCCAATCTTCAGCTACATTTCAAGCTCCAACTGAGCAAATGCAGGTTCTTGCGGGATGCATTATAAGGGTTACATTTATTAATGTTCTTACAGATAACTCGCGTGCTCATTCGACCTTTCATTATTAAAATATCATTTCTTGACTAATATGCATTCATTCTTATAAGTAGAAATATTTAATCTCTGATTTCTTATGATATCCTTTCGCTATTTAATCATACTCCCTTGGTCCGTATAAGTCCATTCTAATATTTAAATCTTTATTCCTCTATATTTAAGGCTACTATACCTTTCGAGCCTACCCCTGTCTCCTTCATGTCTGGTAAAGGATTGGCCGAATTTCTTCGTGAATTTTCAATGATTTTTACCCATTTGACCGGAGTGATGTGCTTGGGCGGATGTGCAGAGCAGGTCAGAGATTCTTCGCCATGTACTAAGCAACTCGGAGGCACATGTGCTGTCATTATTGATCGATCTACTCAGGCGACTAATCCAACCTTTACTCCATCTTCTCTTCAGGTAGTCCAGTGGGATTCTCAAAAAAAACTACAAGAATTATCAAGAATGTTTTCCAATTAGGACTCCTAAAATTTTTGCTTGAAGTATTTTGCTAGCCAACTAAATAGGCTTCTTAATGCATCCTTACGATTTTCCTGCCAAGTCTATCAGGAGAAAATTGTATTTCTCTTAAATAAATATTTGTCACTCTGGATCACTTAGGGTTATTTAAAGACCGTTAGTTGAGTTTTCCCATAACGAGCTGAGTAAGCCTTAGGATGTCATTTAATTTAACTTAGCCTTGCCTCCTAAAATATATTTTCATCCAGGATTGACTGCGGTTTCCACCTCGCCTGAGTCTCATCAGCACTTAAGTTAGTCAAGATCTATTGGTAGCTTCGAAACTTACTTATTCGGAATGTAATTAATATTGTATACTGTAATAGCAAATAGAAGTTTGTTTCATCTACGCTTCTACTGCAAAATATGATATGGAAGAGGACTGATCATGGATGTTCTAGGATTTACCTGCACTCGTATCGATGTGGTATAATAGTAACCCAGCGAAACTCAGCTTCTTTTCATAATAGTTACATGTTTAAAGTGAAAACTGTGCAGCACCCGGATTCTATACCCGTCGGGCGTTCTTATCAGACCCAGGTGAGGTCGAAACTGCAGTCCATCCTGCATGAGAATAACTTTTGAGCGTCAAGGCAAAGTTAAATTTGGTAGTATCTTGAGGCCATCTCATAGTGGGATAATTGTATTATCACTCCTTAATCGCCTTATGCGACCTAGCGTGAATAGATAACTTCGAATCAGGGATTGCTTA